TGCCTGGCTACCACTACCACTACTACTACTACTACTACTACTACTACTACTACTACTACTACTACTACTACTACTACTACTATACTACTACTACTACTACTACTACTACTACTACTACTACTACTACTACTACTACTACTACTACTACTACTACTACTACTACTACTACTACTACTACTACTACTACTACTACTACTACTATTACTACTACGACTACTACTACTACGAAAACTATTACTACTACTACTACTACTACTACTTCTACTACTACTACTACTACTACTACTACGAGTACTACTACTAGTACTACTACTACTACTACTACTACTACTACTACTACTACTACTACTACTACTACTACTACTACTACTACTACTACTACTACTACTACTACTACTACTACTACTACTACTACTACTACTACTACTACTACTACTACGACGACTACGACTAATACTACTACTACTACTACTACTACTACTACTACTACTACTACGACTACTACTACGACTCTCGGATGTTAACGTCCCCCCGATCGAATTTCGCTCATTGCAAAATGCCGTCAATCAGCGCCCGGCCTGTAAATTACGTAACGTCGCAGGGGCATACGACAGGGCACTTCTACTTGTGCAACTTGTTTGATGGGAACCGATGAATTGTGCAACCTTTTTCGTTTTCTCGGGTCAGGTCGGCTTCCGAACTTGTGCAGCCTTTTTGATTGGGAACCGATGAGTTGTGCAACCTTTTTGCTTGAAAACCAATGGGTTGTGCATCCTTTTTCGTTTTCTCGGGTTCGGGTCGGTTTCCAAACTTGTGCAGCCTTTTTGATTGGGAGCCGATGAGTTGTGCAGCCGTTGTGATTGGGAACCGATGAATTGTGCAATTTTTCTGTTTATCGTATTATGGTCGGTGTCCGAACTTGCGCAGTCGGTTTCCGAATGCGTGCAGCCTCTTTGATTGGGAACCGATGAGTTGTGCAACATTCTTTGATTGGGAACCAATGAGTCGTGCAGCCTTTTAGATTGGGAACCGATGACTTGTGCAACCTTTTTCGGTTTCTCGGGTCGGGGTCGGTTTCCGAATTTGTGCAGCCTTTGTGATTGGGAGCCGACGACTTGTGCAGCTTCTTTACTTGGGAACCGGTGAGTTGTCTGCAGAAGTGTGGAGCCGAGCCCTACCCGAGAAAACAAAAAAAGTTGCACAATTCGTCGGTTCGCAATCAAAAAGGTTGCACAACTCGTCGGTTCCCGATGCAAAAGGCCGCACAAGTTCGGAAATCGACCCCAAGCCGAGAAAACAAAAAAGATTGCACAACTCGTCGGTTCACAATCAAAAAGGTTCCACAACTCGTCGGTTCCCGATGCAAAAGGCCGCACAAGTTCGAAAATCGACCTCAAGCCCAGAAAACACAAAAGGTTGCACAACTCGTCGGTTCACAATCAAAAAGGTTGCACAACTCGTCGGTTCCCGATGCAAAAGGCCGCACAAGTTCGGAAATCGACCCCAAGCCGAGAAAACAAAAAAGGTTGCACAACTCGTCGGTTCGCAATCAAAAAGGTTGCACAACTCGTCGGTTCCCGATGCAAAAGGCCGCACAAGTTCGGAAATCGACCCCAAGCCCAGAAAACAAAAAAGGTTGCACAACTCGTCGGTTCGCAATCAAAAAGGTTGCACAACTCGTCGGTTCCCGATGCAAAAGGCCGCACAAGTTCGGAAATCGACCCCAAGCCCAGAAAACAAAAAAGGTTGCACAACTCGTCGGTTCGCAATCAAAAAGGTTGCACAACTCGTCGGTTCCCGATGCAAAAGGCCGCACAAGTTCGGAAATCGACCCCAAGCCGAGAAAACAAAAAAGGTTGCACAACTCGTCGGTTCACGATCAAAAAGGTTGCACAACTCGTCGGTTCCCGATGCAAAAGGCCGCACAAGTTCGGAAATCGACCCCAAGCCGAGAAAACAAAAAAGGTTGCACAACTCGTCGGTTCACAATCAAAAAGGTTCCACAACTCGTCGGTTCCCGATGCAAAAAGCCGCACAAATTCGGAAATCGGCCCCAAGCCGAGAAAACAAAAAAGGTTGCACAACTCGTCGGTTCCCAATCAAAAAGGCTTCACAACTCGTCGCCTCCAAATCCGAAGACCGCGCAAGTTCGGAAACCAAGCAAAACGAACCCGATAAAACGAAAAATGTTGCACAACTCGTCATCCGTAATCGAAAATGGCTGCACATGCTCGGAAACCTAGACCGACCCGAGAAAACCAAAGAAAAGGCACGACTCGCCGGTTCAAAGGTTGCACAACTCGCCAGTTCCCAATCAAATAAGCTGCACAATCGGTCCACGACCAAAAAGGCTGCACAAATTCGGAAACCGAGCACATACCGTGAAAACGAAACAGGTTGCACAACTCGTCGGTTTCCAATCAAAAATGTTGCACAACCCGTGGGCTCCCAATCAACAAAGTTGCACAAGTTCGGGAACAGAGCCCAACCCGAGAAAACGAAAAAGGATGCACAACTCATCGGCTCCCAATCAAAAAGGCTGCACAAGTTCGGAGACCGACCTAACCCAAGAAAGGGAAACAGGCTGCGCAACTCGTCGGTTCCCAATCCAATAGCTTGCACAACTTGTCGGTTCCCAATCGAAAAAGCTGCACAAGTTCGGAAACCGACCCCAGCCCGAGACAACAAAAGAGGTTGCACAACTCATCGGTTCCCAATCAAAAATGTTGCACAACTCAGCGGATGCCAATCAAAAAGGCTGCGCGAGCTCAGAGCCGAGCCCTACCCGAGAAAACGAACAATGTTGCACAACTTGCCGATTTCCAATCAAAAAGGTTGCACAACTCGTCGGTTCCCAATCGAAAGGCTGCACAAGTTCGGAAACCGACCCCGACCCGAGAAAACGAAAAAGGTTGCACAACTCGTCGGATGCCAATCAAAAAGGCTTCACAACTCGTCGGTTCCCATTCAGAAAGGCTGCGCAAGTTCGGAAACCAAGCCCAACTAGAGAAAACGAGAAAGGTTGCACAACTCATCGGTTCCCAATCAAAAAGGTTGCACAACTCGTCGGTTCCCGATGCAAAAAGCCGCACAAATTCGGAAATCGACCCCAACACGAGAAAACGAAAAAGGTTGCACAACTCGCCGGATCCCAGTCAAAAAGGCTGCACAACTCATCGGTTCCCAATTCAAAAAGGTTGCACAACTCATCGGTTCCCAATCAAAAAGGCTGCACGCATTCGGAAACCGACCCCGACTCGAGAAAACGAAAAAGGTTGCACAGTCATCGGTTCCCAACCAAAAAAGTTGCACAACTCAGCGGCTCACAATCAAAGAGGCTGCACAAGTTTGAAAACCGACCCCGACATGAGAAAATCGAGAAAGGTTGCACAACTCATCGGTTCCCAAACAAAAAGGTTGCACAACTCAGCAGTTCCCAAACCAAGCCAATCAAAAAGGCTGCACAAGATCGGAAACCGAGCACAGACCGAGAAGACGAAAAAGGTTGCACAACTCATCGGTTCCCAATCAAAAGGTTGCACAAGTTGCCGGTTTCCAATCAAAAAGGCTGCACAAGTTCGGAAACCGCCCCCGACCCGAGAAAACGAAAAAGGTTGCACAACTCATCGGTTCCCAATCGGTAACCGACCCCAACCCGCGAAAAAGAAAAAGGTTGCATAACTCATCGGTTCCCAATCACAAGAGTTGCACAACTCGCCGGTTCCCAATCAAAAAGGCTGCACAAGTTCGGAAACCGACCCCAACCCAAGAAAACGAAGAAGCTTGCAAAACTCGTCGGTTCCCAACCAAAAAAGCTGCACAACTCAGCGGCTCCCAATCAAAAAGGTTGCACAACTCATCGGTTCCCAATCAGATAGGCTGCGCACGTTTGGAAACCGTCCCCAACCCGAGAAAACGAAAAAGTTGCACAACTCATCGGTTCCCAATTCAAAAAAGTTGCACAAGTTGCCGGTTTCCAATCAAAAAAGCTGCACAAGTTCGGAAACCGACCCCAACCCAAGAGAACGAAAAAGGTTGCACAACCCATCGGTTCCCAATCAATATAGGTTGCACAACTCGCCGGATCCCAGTCAAAAAGGCTGCACAAGTTCGGAAACCGAGCCAAACCCAAGAAATCAAAAAAGGTTGCACAACTCATCGGTTCCCAATCCCAGCCCAAGCTCATAAGTTTAAACTTATTGTTCACAGCCCAGCTGCTACTATTACTACTGCTAGTACCACTACTACTACCACTACTACTACTACTACTACTACTACTACTACTGCTACTACTACTACTACTACTACTACTACGACGACTACTACTACGACTACTACTACTAATAATACTGCTACTACTACTACGTCTACTACTATTACTACTACTACTACTACTACTACTACTACTACTACTACTACTACTACTACTACTACTACTACGTCCGCCTCATCTTCATCTGAAGCGTCATCCTCATCAGCATCAGCACCATCGCCATCCTCATCCTCGTCTTCATCCACTTGATCATCAGCATCATCCTCATTATCCTCATCATCCTCCTTGTTCTGAATTAGTTCCTGTATGCCTCCCGTCTGCCTTTCGTGCTGACAGGGTACTTCCGACTGCCACGAAGACACATACATACATACAGACATACATACGTACGTACATCAATACATATATACATACATACAGCATACATAAGCGCGTACATGCATACATACATGCAAACATGCAGACATGCATGTACACATACACATGTGCATACATGTATGCATACATGCATACACACAGTCATACATACATACATACATACATACATACATACATACATACATACAGACCTACATGCATGCATACATGCATACATACAGACATGCAATCATGCATATACATATACATGCCAACAAACAGTTATACATACACATACAGATATATGCATGCAGACACGCGTACATGCATGCATGCACGCATACCTACATACCAACATGAATACATACATGTATACATACACACACACGAACATACATACATACATACGCATAGACCGACATACGTGCATACGCCCATGGTATACGCATGCATGCATGCATGCATGTATACACACACATATGCATGTACATGCCTGCATACAAGCATGCATGCATACATACCTCGATCGATCTGCCTGCATACATGCAAACATACGTACATACACACATATAGACAAAATAACAAACAAACATACGTACATACATACAAACGTGCATACGCGCATACACACATACATACCTATGCACGTGCATACACACACATCCATACTTACATTCTCACATACATACAGACCTGCATGCATGCATGCATTCCTACATACATACATACATAAATACATACATACATACATACAAACATACATACATACATACATACATACATACATACATACATACGCCTAGCCGTTCGCCTTCCTCCCTCCCCCCCTCCCCGCCAGCTTCATCCTTTGTCCCCTCCCCCCCCCCCACCCACCCAGCCCATCCCCTTTCCACCCCTCCTCGCATGTCCGCCTCCTCGTCTTCCCCTCCTCGCCGCCCCCCCGTCCTCACCTCCCATCCGTCCTTTATCCGCCCTCCCCCTCACACCTTCCCCCTTCCCTCCCTCCCTCACGTCGCTCGCCAGGCAAGCCCCATCCCTGGACGCCTTGCAGCCTTCCTGCGCGCCCCCCACAGTGCGGCTCTCCTCGCGCGTGGCCTCGAGGGTGTAGGCGGCGAAGGCGCGGGGGAGGCAGACCTCCCCTTAGCGTTCCTCCTCGTCATCATCACTCCTGTCATCCTCTCCTCCTCCTCCTCCTCCTCCTCCTCCTACTCCTCCTCCTCCTCCTCCTCCTCCTCCTCCTCCTCCTCCTCCTCCTCCTCCTCCTACTGATTCTTCTCCTCCCCCTGCTCCTCCTGTACCGCCTGCTCCTCCTCCGTCAAGCCGCCTGGCATGCGCCCCAGCGCTTGATGAAGACTCGCGGAGGGTGGACCACCGTGGCTCGAGGTCTACCGCTGTGGGGCCGAGGCAAGCTGGGGTGCAGCATGCAGCACGTGGCGCAGTGCCCCCAGCCCGATTGTGGAGATCGAGTCGCTGGCGGCAATAATTACCACCGCTGCCACGTTTCGGGCATGCCTCCAGTGATGCGCTTATGGCCACCTTCGGAGCGACATGGTACCCCGCTCAAAACAGGGGCCGAGGGAACGCTCCAATGCTCGATCGCTCCCACCGGACAGGCCCGGCAGCTCCCAGAATATGCGGAGTTCCTGGTCTCGAGAGCAGAGGCAGACGGCATGAGAACCTTCATCCAGCTCCAGGACCTCACTCCGCAGCTCCAGGACTTCACGTCGCAGATCGACAGTGAGGAGTAGCGCGAAAATCAGTTGCGGGTGTCCTTGCAACTGCAGAAGCGCGAGAACAGGAGCATGTAACAGATGTTGCAGGAGCAACGACGGCTGGGTCTGCTATAGCGACAGGTGGTGGAGAAGGGTCAAGAGATGCACAGGCTTAGGCTCATAGGTCAACAGCTGTGAACGGCTCACGGCGGAGGAAGCAGAAGCATAAGCTTACCAGCGTCAGCGCAGTCCGCCTATTCCGAGCCTCACCAAGACGAAACTCCGAAAGCCGTACGCGCCGAAAAGAATGAACAGCAGAAGTGGGCGCCAGACAGAGCGGCAGCGGCGTGAAGGGGGGGGGAGAGAGAGAGATAGGGAGGCAAGCTGGGTGCGCTCGCCCCATATCTGACATCCTACCCCTCCCACACATCGCCTCCAATCACGATAACGTGTTTCTATCCGCTGGCGGCCCTAGAAAACTAAAATGACCCCATGGTGCTACGCGCAATCAGAAAGGGGAGCTGCGAACACTGGAGGATGAAGAGGGGGAGGTGGCGGACGAGCAGGAGCATGGGCGGGAGGGAGAGGATGAGGATGAGGATGGAGGCAGAGGAAGGAGGATCAGCAGCAGCAGCGGGAGCAGGAGCAGGAGGGGCGGTAGGAGCAGGAGAACCAGGGGAAGGCGGGGGAGGGGCAAAGAGGGGGAGCCATCGACGAGGAAGCACTAGGATCCAGAGATGTGGCCCGAGCCGGGGCGACAGCGCCATCCTGAAAAACGGGAGCAGGGCGCCGATCCTGAAATGAGGCCCACGCTGCAGCGGAAGCACCACTGTTCCAGAGCAGTGCTTGCACGTAGGGATGCTCACCCGGCATTCTAAAATAGTTGTTTGGGCATTCCGGGGTTTCGCCGGGTGCACGCCCGTGGGCGCCTCGTTGGCGCCCCGCGCCAGGGGGTACGCCGAGGTGTCGCCTGGTGCCCGCCCGTGGGCGCCTCGTGGTCGCCCCGACAGCGTGCACCGCACAGCTTGGACCACATAGCTTGCACCACGTAGCTATAGCACCACATGGCTTGGACCACACAGCTTACACCACGTAGCCAGCACCACCCAGGTTGCACCACGGACGTTGCACCAACGTAGCGTGCACCACAGAGCTTGCCCTTCACAGCTTGCACCACACAGCTTACATCACACAGCTTGCAGCACGTCGAATGACCCCAAAAACTTCCCCAAAAAAAGCTTACACCACATAGTCTGCATCACGTCGATTGCACCACATAGCTTACGCCATATAGCTTGCACCACACAGCTTGCACAGCATAGCTTGCACCGTGTGGCTTGCCTTTCATAAGGGAAAAAATATTCCACCACCCTCCCCAGCCGGGCCTCATCGACCCCCCCTGAGACACCGCATGTGTCATATGATTATGCCTCATCATTCGACTTCCATATAAACTGATACCATTCCCGCTAAAGCGGTATCAACCCTTCCCCCCTCGTCCATGTCAGATACTACTGTGCGCGCACACCCGTTCATCTCAAAATATCACGTTCCGTGAGCCCCTGGCTAACATATACACACAAAACCCAAACGCGTGCGCAATGTCGAAGTCATACCACAACACACACACACACACATTCGTGCAGCAAAGATTGCAACACAAAAAGACACAACAAAAAAGAGGTTGCTCATCACAAAGATTGCAAATGTTCTACCCGCGCGGGACGACCACCGAGAAGGCCCCAAGAAGCGAAAATCGCCCCACTCCCTCCATAAAACATACGTTTCCAGCGCACTCGCCGTTTGCGTCTTGAGAGATCGTCCAAGACGACCGAAAGGGCTCCCAAGATCGTCTCAAGTTCGCCCGGGGACGGCCCAAGAGGGCCCCAAGACGACCCCAGGGGCCCCCAAGACAGCCCAAGAAGAGGCCCAAGCTGGCCCTGGGGGCTCCCGAGACGGCCCAAGAAAGCCCCGAGAGAGGCCCAAGAAGGGAATCCGAACTGACATTCCGAGCCATTTCTCCCAAGATGGCCCCAAGAGACCCCCCAGAGGCCCACAAGAGGCCCCTAACAGGCACCAAACGGCCCACAGGTGCCTCCGAAAACGCTCGAAGAGACTGCCTGTTGAAACTTTGGGGGGCCGGACGAAAGGCGTACGCTTCTTGAATATTGCAGATGTTCTGCCCGCGCGCATTTGCTGAAATAGTGGGCAACCCATGTGAGTTTCGCAATCTCGCCCAGACACCGTACTCTCATCTTACCACGCGGCGCATCCGCGTTGATCTAGCAAGCGCCCGGTGCACGAAAATCCAGATCAAGTAACACCATGCAGGCCACACACGCGCGCGCCGCAACACGCGCGTTGAAATCCTTCGAAAACCGATGGTGTCTGAAGCATTTCAAGATAAGGCCTTTCGAAAACATGTGACGACCCACATTCTTTTCAACTGAAATTCTGCCAGGCTTCTTGAATCTCCGCGCGCGCGCACTTCCTCACCATGACCCTCACCAGCGCCACCGTATCACCACCACTACAGTCATCGTGAATCGCCGCCATTGCTGGCATCATCAGTCAACGACCTTCACAGTCGACACACGGATACCATCATCAGCATCATCATCATCATCACCATCATCATCGTCAGAATCATCATCATCATCGTCGTCTTCGTCGTCGTCGTGGTCGTCGTCGTCGTCAGCAGTAGCAGCAGCAGCATCGGTGCAGTCGTCATCGTCATCATCACCACCACTCTCGCTACTATCATCATCGTCGCCGCCGTTTTCGACGTCCTCATAATACAACTGCCCAGCCCGAGCCACCGACCCGCACTGAAGTGCCCACGCGCCAGCGCGGGCTTTGAGACGCGCTGAGAAGTTCAAATCCGTGAGCAACATCGCGGCCGCATCAGTTAGGCCAAACCAACTGGCCAGTCTGCGCGCGAGGGTTCGCGCGCCGGCGCGGCTGCAGAGATGCGCCAGCCAGCGCCAAGCAGTCACTGCAATCGAGGCCGCATTGGTTTTGCAGAACAAGTTGCGGGTGGGAGGGTGGGATGTTTGCACGAGCGGTGGAGTTGACAGTTCATAACTGCACCGCATAGCTTGCACCACACAGCTTGCACCTCATGGCTTGCACCACATGGCTTACACCACGCGGTTGCACCACATGTGTCGAGATCGTCGGACAAGGAACCACTGGAGAAGGAATCCAGGATCTGGAAGCTGGTGGAACATCAACTCGGGCTTGACCATGGGTATCACCAACGCCCTGATCAGAAAAGGAACCTCCAGGGTTTGCAGCCTCCTGGCTACGTTCCTCAACCAACGCCCAAGCGTAGCTTACACATCCGCAGTGCACTAAATCACTGTTTGGGGTCCACGTGGCCCAGTATTGAAACATCCAAAACGCTCCGACCGAAGAAACTATACTCGATGAGCAACATCACAACATGCGAAAGAAAAGAGGCCCCATTCGCGCAGAATCCGACCAACCGTATTGAGCAACTGCACAAGAGGGAGCGAGGAGGGATAAGGATCAGGATAGGGGCCATTGGGGGTCTCCGTCACTAGCTGCTTGAAACACTTGTTTGATTCGCGTGTCGAGAGCGCACCTCTTCCGGTCGAAGCTAAGCGGGCCGCGCAGAGCTTGAATCACGGCTGCTTGAAACACGGCCCCTGGCATGTGGATGCCTGCCCTGGTCCTGATGGCTCTGGGGCTGTCTGGGGTCAGCCAGTCACTATCGTGACCAGGCTGTTTAGTTTGAAGGGGCCCCAGAACTCACAAATAGATACACACAAATAAAAAGATTCCCCATATTTTCCCATATGGTCTGGGTTTCTGTCTTCCCCCCCACTTCCCATATTTTTGCATATTTTCCTGGGAGTCGACGATTGATTGTGTCTGTGTGTTTTTTCCCCTCCTGATAGTTTACCCCCCAGGGCCGACCGGCCCTGGGGGGGTGGCAGTCGACGACTCATGACGCCACCAAGTTCCAGGTCTCAAGATAAAGGCGCTTCTTGACATGAGCGGCCAAAAATCCCACCGACATGGGCCAAGAAGAAAATTCGCCGACCCAGTCGGCGTGTGTGAGAGGCCCTTCGACGCGAGGCCCGTCCAACCCACACTGAAATACGCCTGCCTCCGTTGAGTCGTCGCCGTCGTCAGGAAGACCAAACAGACACGGGAGATCGGAAAATGCCAGAATTCAAATATCGGGAGCGGCCAAGAGGGGGGTGTCCAAGAGGGGGGGTGCAAATCATGACTGGCGGCATGTGCGCGGCCCCGCGGGGGGGCCAGGGACGTAATGAAATGAGAAGAGGCGCCATGACATCTGGGGAAATATCATGGCCCCCGCCATGAGATCCACCCCCCCCTAGTCATCACCCCCCTCTCTTCCGCCCCCGACAAATACGTCGAACGAAAGCC